AAATACAAACAATTCCTAAAATGACCAAATTCTTCCAGCAATTTGAAGGTTATTAAAGAAAACACAGAAACAATCGGTAGGGCCTCACAACACTTCCAAACATTGAGAGCCAAAAGTACATAACCCACAAGCAAAGTAATTCGCCTTCAGGCAGAGGGTCTCCTGCCTCGTAGAGTGTTAGGCTGACGTACTTATTACTTACAAGAGGAGGTAGGAGGTCTCCGATGACTGCCTACAAATAGTATTTACTGAAATACCAGATCTGCTGGCAGGACGGGTATTGCTGAGTTTTGAAGGTGCTGATGAATTTTGCTCCTGTTGAGTTTCCATTAATATTAAGACACTTGCTGGGATTAACAGTTGCCTGTATTTAAGAGGGCAAACTATGGCTTGGGCAAAATGTCAAAGACTTCCATTTAACAGTAGATGATATTGAAGTCCAAAACTCCTTGACATGGCCTTTCAAGTAAAAAGTATCCAACATCTTTATGCATCTACCATGATGCTGGTGGCTGTTAAAAAAAAAAAAATAAGAAGGGACGTCTGGGTGGCCTAGTCGGTTAAGCATCTGCTTTCTGCTCAGGTCATGGTCCCAGGGTCCTGGGATGGAGCCCCGTGTTGGGCTCCCTGCTCAGCAGAAGTCTGCTTCTCCCTCTCCCACTCCCCTTGCTTGTGTTCTCTCTCTGTCAAACAAATAAGTAAAACCTTAAAAAAAAAAAAAAAAAAAAGAAGTAAGGTTGGGGGGCAAGATACCAAGGCATTTCTATTGGAAATAGTCCATGAGCCAGGGTCAGTTTCTGCCCATCCCCACCCCGATGCGGAAGAATGTCCTGGGTTTTGTTTTTATTTTTGCTTTCATACTCCTATGCGTTTGCTCAGAGGCTGCTATCTCTGCCTGGAAAGCTCCTTATCAGCTTCTGTGCCTTCTCCAACTCCCCCCGACGTGGGCTGCTTTGCTTCTTCCTCTACTCCACGTCTCTCCTTTTGCTGGCACCTTGGCAGAGCTGTCCCTGCACTGTGTTACTGTCAGCTGTCTGCCTCTCTCCCAGGAGTGTGAGCTCCTGAGGGCAGGGACCAGATCAATTTCTATTTTTCTGTTTGTAATCCTAGCTTCCAGCACAGTACCTGTCCACACAGCCGGCGCTTGGTAAATGTGTGTTGAATAAACAAACAGATGATAGCATTTTCAAGAGGATACCAAAAGAGAAAAAAGATTGAAAGGGCAAACTCTGTTCTTACTAAAAAGGAAATTGCTGATATAATGTGAAATCGTGTGTATCTGATTGTGAATCAAGAACTGTGAAAATAATTCTCCCCAAGATAGATATTTTTTTAAGCAAAAGATGCTAATCATCAGAAGGCTTGTATATTATTGACTCTAAAAACAATTCAACCCCAAAAACAATGTAATAAAGTGAAAAAAACTCCTGAAATAGAAAGTGCCGATGCCTGGAAGACATTTCATCGGATTTTTTTCCTCAAGGAAAAAGGGTTTTTTTTTTCTCAAGGTAGACAAAGTTGCAAAGAAATCTAAATTATTCATTATACTTAAGTCTGGCCAGGCTCAGGTAGTCATGTTTAATTGCTCAGCACAGTTTCATCCAATGGATTTAATGTTTGTGGAGAATACTTAGAGGGGGATCCAGTGAACTAAGATCATCCATGAATTATAATTATTATGGTAATCAGAGTAATTTGTAACATATATACTAGGATATCTAAGGACCACTGTTCTGAAAGTCCTGTCCTTGAGAGGCCATATTTTTTTTCCCTCTGTTATGCTGTCACAGAGCAAAACTCTTCCAGATTCATTTCCAAAGTCGTTCATCAGCCATCCAAGATTTGAGAGAAGAAAGTCACGTAAGACTACATTTATTCTGGGTTGTTCCAGTGAGAAAACTGAACTATATGGGGTGATTTTCAGGAGATCGGTTTCAACACAATAGAAAAAAAATTTTTTTAATGATTTGAGCTATCCAAATAATGAAATGGATTTTTGCTAATATATAATTTTCACTGGAAGTATTCAAACAAACCCTAGATGACCACTTACAGAAGTGGTAGAAGATTAATGTACTTCAAAGTCCCTTTGAATGCTGAGAGTCTGTGATTCCAGGGGTATCTGAGTAATTGTTTGATAGTCAAACTAAATGTGTCTTATAATCTGCATGCATCAAGCCAGGTGTGTGCTCAAACGTCACCTTATTACAGAGATCTTACCTACATGAAATATTACCCCACAGTCTTCTTTCTTCTCTCTTACCCTGCTCTATTTCTCTCATATGTTTTGTTTTTGTTTATTTATATATTGTTTCCCCCTGACTAAAGAATGTAGGGACACCTGGGTGGCTCAGTCGGTTAAGCGTCTGCCTTCAGCTCAGGTCCTGGGATCTGTCCTGCATTGGGCTCCCTGTTCAGCGGGAAGCCTGCTTCTCCCTCTGCCTGCCGCTCCCCTTCCCCCCAACAAATAAATAAATAAAATCTTAAAAAAAAGAAGAAGAAGAAGAAGAAAGAAAGAAAGAATGTAAGCTCCATGAAGGAAGGGATTTTGTTGGTTTTCTTCATTGCTCTAACCCCAGCACCTAAATTGGAATCTGGCATAAAGTGTGTGTTTAATCGATTATCCAATAAAAATAATATTAAAATGTTACAGAAAAATTACAAACATGAGAGAGAGAACAAGAGGAAGGAAGGGAGAGAGAGAAAAACACACAATTCTACTACTTCTTGGTATTTAATTATATACTCCTTGTATTTTCTTCTCATCTCTTTGCTTTCAAAGAGGTTTTTATATAGTTGTAATCATCATTCATCTCTTTACCTAAAATGTTTTATACAGCTGAATAATTCTCATCTCATTCACCAAATCTGGCTATAATGATTTGATGTCATTTCTAAAAATCAAACTCATTTTCATATAAAAAAAAGGTGTGACCAGTAAAAAGGTGACCAGTAAGGCTACACAAGAGGTGTATGCCACAGCCCAAAGAAAACCAACAAACTCACCATTTCTAATTTCATAATCATCTCTCTCATCAGTATCATTGAAAAGAGTCATAGTTATTTTTGGAGGCAGAATACCATCCTGAGTGAAGATCATAATAGCCAAAACATTCTTGCAAAAAAAAAAAAAGTTGGAGGACTTACACCTGATTTCAACAGGCACTACAAAGCTATAGCAATTAAAGCAATGTAGTATTGGCATAAAAAATAGACCTATAGATCTACAGAACAGAAGTGACTCTCTTGAAACAAGCCCTTACATGTATAGCCAGTTAATTTTCCACAAAGGCACCGACAAAATTCAATAGAGGAAAGTATATAGTCTTTTCCCAAAGACAGGCTAAGCCAATCAGATATCTGTATGCAAAAAGATGAATTTAGACCCTTACGTTACACATACGCAAATATAAGTTGAAGTGGGTAACAAACCTAAAATACAAACACCTAAAACTGTAGAACTCTCAGAAAGAAGACACAGGAATGATAATCTCTGATCTTGGGTAAGGAAAAGATTTCTTAGCTGTAACACCAAGAGTTCAAGCAGTAAATGAAAAAAAAATTGATAAATTGGACTTTACTAAAATTAAAAGCATCCACATTTCAAAAGACACCAATAGACTATTCACAGAATGGAAGAAAATACCTGCAAATCATATACTTGCTAAAGTCCAGAATATATTCTAGAACTCTTACAGGCCACTAATAAGAAGATGACTCAATTTTAAATGAATGTAAGATTCCTTTCAAAAAACATTTTATCAAAGTAGAAATGAACACATGAAATTATGCTCAACATCACTAGTTATGAGAGGAATGAAATTAAAACTGCAGGGAGATCTATTTCACACCCACTAAAATGGCTATAACCAGAAAGACAAGCAGGAACAAATTAGGATGTGGAGACACTGGAACTTACATCATTGCTGATGGGAACATAAAGGGGGGGCAGCCATTTTGGAAAATAGTTTGGCAATTTCTTGAAAAGTTAACTGTAAATATACCATATAACTCAGCAATTCCTCTGTCACGTATCTCCCCGAGAGAAATGAAAACATATGGCTACACAAAGACTTGCACATAAATGTTCACAGCATTATCTGTAACAACCCAAACCTGGAAACAACCCAAATATTCACCAACTGCTGAATGTAATAAACAAAATATGGTCTATTACACATGTATTAAGAAGTGTATATTTCTATGCATACACATTTTACCAGCTCTTTATCTATCTGTATGTTAAAATGATCTATTGATAAAGTCCTGCAAACCGTGTATATATTTTTCACACTCATAAGAATATGGACACAGGGGCGCCTGGGTGGCTCAGTCGTTAAGCGTCTGCCTTCGGCTCCGGTCATGATCCCAGGATCCTGGGATCGAGCCCCGCATCGGGCTCCCTGCTCGGCGGGAAGCCTGCTTCTCCCTCCCCCACTCCCCCACCTGTGTTCCCTCTCTCGCTGTGTCTTTGTCAAGTAAATAAATAAAATCTTTAAAAAAAAAAAGAATATGGACATATATATATAATTTCATGTTAGCATCTCTTCAGTTTTCGGCCCAGACACAAATCTGGAACTTCAAAAGTAGTTCACCACTTTTTTAGCTCTGTGGCTGTGGGCTTGTTACTTAACCTCTCTGGGGCTGTACTAGTAAAATCTGGAGGATAATATACCCCTGACAGGACCTTGGGATTAAATGAGATAAAATGTATAAACTGCTTCGCACTTATAAGCCAGACCCAGTATTGTTATCTGTCTTTCTGGAGTTTTATTTGCAAGTCTAGTTGTTGACCAATACTCTTGGTTGAGGAGAAGGAAACCATGCCGTGCAGTGGAGAAAGCCACTTCTGTCCTTCTAGCTGTCTGACTTCAACGTTTTCATGTAAACTCTCAGAGCTTCCATTGCCAAAATCTGTAAACGAGGATAATCATCTCACAGGACTTGTTACCATTAGTGCCTTGTAAACTGCGAAATACAATAAAAGTTTAAGGTGCTGTATCAGCATAGCCTTCTGTTAACCATCAATACCACCCACAGTATGTTTTTAGAAGAACCCGAATAACCACTCATAGAGTGATGTGTAGTCATTTCTCAGCCTCTGAGATTATCATCAAAGAATCTCTTCATGGCCGTGGTGGTGGAAGCGAGTCATTTTCAAAATAAATTTTATTCTCCTGTTGCTTGAATATAAAGTGAGAACTGTGTTACTGCCTATCTGAAACACTCTCTGCCTGTCCTCATGAGCTATCAGGCTCAGCTAAATATGTCCCTGGCCAGTATGTTCATAATCCCCACTGGTTCTGAGACCTTCCTCCACCACCGATGTGACATTCTTTGTGTTCAAATGTCTAGCTGACGTCTGCTGCTTAAAACAGCCCATGCTTTCACCCCCTCTCTGCATTGTCACGGCCCTGTATCACCGCTCTTAAAAGGCCACTCCTCGCTCTGGTTGCTGACCAGCCTGCCCACTTGCCTCCCTGCCTGTTTCTGGCCGCCTTGAATGCCTGCTTCTTCAAGCTCCTTGTGGCTCTGACAAAGCAGGGACCATGTCTACCTTTGGCTACAGGAGAGGACTTAGCAAATATGAATCCATCGATGAGGATGAACTTCTCGCTTCCCTGTCAGCTGAGGAGCTGAAGGAGCTAGAGAGGGAGTTGGAAGACATTGAACCTGATCACAGCCTTCCCGTGGGGCTAAGGCAAAAGAGTCTGACCGAAAAAACCCCCACGGGGACATTCAGCAGAGAGGCACTGATGGCCTATTGGGAAAAGGAGTCCCAAAAACTCTTGGAGAAGGAGAGGCTGGGGGAGTGTGGAAAGGTAGGCTCTCGGGTTTTTCCTTAGCTACTCCCACCCTCGGCCCCCCACCCCCAACCTGGGAAACCTGTTTTCCCTAACTTTTCAGTCCGCTTCACTTGTCTTTTCTCATAACCCATTTGCACCTGCTACAGAACAATTCCTCAGGCCACCCAGTGGATCATAATATGTAATATTTTTAGCTGGGACCCTTTGATTGACTTTAGTCAATCAAGACGGGATTTTCTAGAGGAAAAAAACCCACAAGCAAGGCATGGGTTTAGATATATTGCCAAACATAAGTCTAATTTGAGCTGTAAGTTACTAATGAGGCATGATATCTGTGACTATATATATATATACATATATATATATATATATAGCAGTTGAGTAAATTTATTTCCTTTTATAAAGACAGAAGTGGGTACTCTGGTTGCTTTGACTGTGATGGTGGCTACAGTAAAAAAAATTCCTTTTTTCCAACACCAAGAAGTGAGCAGAGGTGGAAAGTCTGTGGGACTGAGAGCCAGGGGGCCTTATGTTGAGTCCCTCTGCTGTCCCTAAGTTGTTAGACTTTGAACAGGTAGTCATCTCTGCAGGGTTCTTTTTTCTATCTGTCCCTCGAGGGAGTTGAATCAGGGTTTCTTTTGTAAATCAAGAACCCCTTTGAGATTTTGATAAATTACAGATCTTCTCCTTAAGATAATGCATGTGTGCTTGTACATACGTACACAAACTTTTACATCGAATTTCAAAATGATAACACACATCCTGAAGCCCACCTGAGGACCCAGGTTAAGCACGCTTGCGTAGATGACCCCTAAGATTCCTTCCAACTTTATAATGTTGATCCTGAGCCCTGGAAATGTTCTTCTATTAGAGCTCACGTTAGAGCTTTTGTTTTCTGCCCAGTAAACACTTACTTTGAATTTTAAGTTATTTTAAGTTACTCTATTTGCCTAATAAGTCATTAACAGAAGAAAGTTCAAAAGTCTACGCCCTGGGAAAATAATAATGGCAATAACAATGTTAATGCAGTATAACAAAGTCCTGAATTTGTGGGAGAACACAGGCCAGGAGCAACAGTTTCAAACCTCTGGGCTCCACTAGAATCACCTAAAATCAAAAGGGCCTGAAGCCAATGGCAAGACTTCCACAGTACTAATCTAGGCACTGTTAGATGATCTTGATGATAGGGTGTGTGGGCCACATTTGTAGCAAGATATGTGTGAGCCTTGTTCATGTCAATCATCTCGGGAAGGGCCACTGGGATCAGGCCAGGGTCTGCCAAGGCCGCGGTGGCTTCCTGCGCAGAGGGGCAGAAGGGGGGCGGTGCAGAGTTGGGCTGGTCATTTCCTCTACAACCTTGATTTTCAGAGGTCTTTTCTCCCCCCCCGATGTGGGAATGTGTGTCAAAAATCTGATAAGATATATAAAATATAACATTTCTATTATAGTCCTTAAAGAATTTCCTTGGGTCAAAAGATGAAAATTGCCACCGAATATCCAGGACAGATAGCCATTGTAGCAGTAACCCAACAAAAGCATTTTCATGTCATGGTGCCTTGAGATCAGTGGGAAACCAAGGGCAAAGGCTGTTATCAGTTATGAGGGAACCCATCCTGATTCTGCCAAAGGTTTTGCTGATCCCTGCCAATGGCTTATCAGCTCAATTAGAGAGGCTGCGTGTTGATGAACTTTGGTTCCTTTCTCGGGAGTTAACTTTTCTCCCACTATACTCCCCCAGCTGACCAGCCGTCTCTGTAGTCACACGGAGTGCTGAGCAGAAGCCTGTGGGTAGAGGGTGTAAACCCATCCCCACCACAGGACAAAGCTCCAGGCAGCGGGCAAGTGGGTGGGGGCGGGAGTGGCCGTGTAAGTGAAGAGCAGTGCAGAATGGACCAGAAGGAAATGGGAGGCTTGGTTATCAGGCTGTTGGCTCTGTAAAGGCTTAGGAAATTCATGTTCAGTGCCTGTTGAATGACAGCCTCCGTTCACTCGGGTCCACACAAATTATGCTGCCTTAAGCTCCAAGGGGCCTTGGAGACCAGAGGGTCTATAGCTCCCCCAACTTGAGTATCTGCTGGGTGTCAGGCATAGGTGCGAGTAAGTTCACTCACATTATTTCATTGAATTCTCACCTTCTGCACATGAGAACTGAGACCAGGAGAGCTTAAGAAATTCAGTTGAAATGAATAGCTTATAAGGTCTGCTGGTGCCAAGACCACAATGCTCAAAATGTGGGTGCCCAACCCTTCAGCATCACCTGGGAATTTCTCAGAAGTTCTCATTCTAGGGCTCCCCCAGATCTCCTGGGAGTGGGGCCCAGCATTCTGTGGTCTCACAAGCCCCCCAGGTGATTATGACACACACTGCAGTTGAGGACCACTCAACTAATACCGTAGTTTCCCTGAGACCTCTCAGAGCTTTACTGATTTGACTAAAGTCAACCAGCTCTTCAGGGATAGACCCAGACCCAGAACCAAAAGCCAAGCCTCTTGCCTCCTTGTTTATGTAATGATGCCAGGGAGGTGATCAGGAGACATAGTTGGCCCCTTCTTGTTGCCTTATTTATTCCCTAAGAGTGCCAACATTTGCCTTCTCTAGACTCACCCCTCAGGCTTCACCCCATCCCACCTTCCCACCCCCATTCTCACAATGTCCAGATAATACAGGAAGGAGGCAAAAATTGTTTTTTCGCATCCTCTTACCTCCCTCTCCAGACCCTTTTCTCCCTTCTGGTGTCCTTCTAGATGTCCCCCACCTAGGGCAGCTAACCATCTCAGATTGTCTGGGGCTATCTAGGCTTAAGAACTGGAAATCCTTCATCCTGGGAAACCCCTCAGCCCCAGGCGAGCCAGGATAGTCACCCACCCAGCCCAGGCCCTGTCCTGATCCTCAGTGGCTGGTAGCCAATTGTCAGTGTAGATCCATTCAGTCAACAAATCTTTATGGAGCCCCTAGTACGTGCTAAGCACTGTGCTAGGTGAACAAACCAGACATGATCCCTGTTCACCCAGCTAACAGTCTTTTGGGAAAAATGACAAATAAGTAATTAAAATAGGTACTTTATTGGGGGCACTACAATGCCATACATGGCAAGGATAATATAAGGGGACAACACAAGGAGGTGTCAAAGAAGGCTTCCTGGAAGAAGTGTCATGTAGATATTATACGACGACTCACTGCTGGATAACAGTTTCAGATTTTGTCTCTCAGACGCATTTTGAGGGGAAAACATCTCTTGAAGATAGAGCCTAAAGGTCTTTTAAAAACCAAAGGGGATAAAATTTAATGGTGGCATGAAAGGCAGTATACCTTAGATTTTGAGACAGATCCCTTTCCTCCAAATACTGAAACAGCTAAAGCTTCACACAAACACACAGCACACACATGCACACAGCATTCCCCTTCCTTCTGCTCCTAAAGAAGGGAGTAAATAAAGACCAGACAACCATCCCAGGAGTGGCTGACCCCTTCCCCAGGCCATCACTTGGTGCCTGCCACTCCAAACAAGTGGATAACTGGAGGCTATTTTGTGGTAGCAACTGGGCAAACAAACCTGGAGACAGGCAGTGTTTTCCAAAGCTCATTCCACATGCCTCAGGCAGCAGGAGCCCTGGGGGTGAAAAAAAGAAAGTTGCCAATGTAGAGGGAGTACCCAAGGTTTTGGGGACAGAGGAGGGCTTGGGGCTTCAGAAGAGACAAAAGAAAGGACTAAAAAGATTGCATCAGGAGAAACTGGACTATGTCAGCAATTTCCAGAAAAAAAAAAATTTTTTTTTTTTTTAATCAGAAAAGATAGTAAGAAAAAAGAAAGAAGGGGTCACTCGGCTTCTTAGTATAAAGTCTGGTAAGCAGGAAAGACAAAGATAGAATTGAGACTGTATTTGCCTGAAAGTCTTTCATAACTGATACATGGTAAATAATTTAAGACCATCAGGCTGGGGCAATGGCTTGCTTCAAGATTTTCTACTGTCCTCTGCTGTTTCATGTTATGGTTAGACTCTAGTTGGTGCCAGGGGTGATTATCTTTCCCACCCTGTGTCTTCTGCAGTCCATCTCCTTTAACCCTGCGCTAGCATGAGATTTCAAGTTGATTTGCAGCAAAGGGTGACCTGGATGCTTTTCTGCAGAGCTAGGTTTTGACCTGCTGCTTGCCATGAACAAGCAGCCCTGCTCCCTCGGCTTCCCTTCCCCACAGCAGCCAGGGACAGCCGCAGGCATCGCGTGGTGTGGGGTCTCTGAGACCCTGTGCTGGGCTCTACCCCAGAGGTAGATGAATGTTGGAAAAACGAAGGACCCCCCTGCCTCTGTCTGCACGTATGCAAACCAGGGCATAGAGCACCTGGCAACTGTCGCAGCTGCTACTGGAGGCAAATGGGACAAAGACTTTTTGAACATTAAAAAAGGGAATCCATTAACATGTTGTGTATTTTTGTTGTCATTTCTTTATTTGAGGTGGCAAAATAAGGAAGGATAGAGGAGTGATTCTAGAAGGGAGGGTTGAATTTGCTACATTCGAAATAGATAGGGAGTCAAGAAGTTCAGAACAAGTAGTTCAGAGAATGAAAAATGTACCAAGCGTTTTCCAAAGCTGAAGTTCCAACCCATTTGTTCAAATTGGCAAAATGATAGTAAATTTTCTTAATATAATAAATAGAATTCTGGATATTTATTCCACAGAAAACAAAAGAAATGTTTGTTTAAAAAAAAACTGTTGGAAGTTATACAATGAAATGTTAACGCTGGTTGCCCCAACTAGAGAGGTCAGAAGCAAGCGATGGACTTTTTCCTTACACGCTTTTGTATTATTTGCCATGTGTTATTTCCCTTCTTTAGTTACTGAGATATAATTGACATATAACATTGTTTGGGTTTTAGATGTACAACATAATGATTTCATATATTGCAAAACCATGTGTGACTTTTGTAAATTAAAAAAAAAAGTGCTTAAAGATGACCAACTTCATGATGATACCGTGCTCTTCAGGTTGCTGAAGAAGACAAAGAGGAGAGTGAGGAAGAGCTCATCTTCACCGAAACGAACAGTGAGGTTTCTGAGGAGGTGTATTCGGAAGAGGAAGAGGAGGAGGAAGGGGAGGAGGAAGAGGAGGAAGAGGAAGGAACAACTGAAAATGAGAAAGGTATTAATGGAACTGTAAATTATGATGGCATCGATTCTGATAACTCTAAGCCAAAGACATTTAAAAGTCAAGTAGAAAACATAAATTTGTCCAATGGCCACAGTGGAAGGAACACAGAGTCACCGGCTGCCATTCACCCTTGCGGAAACCCTACGGTAATCGAGGATGCCTTGGAAAAGATTAGGAACAACGACCCTGACACCACAGAGGTCAACTTGAACAACATCGAGAACATCACGTCGCAGACCCTTGCCCGCTTCGCTGAGGCCCTCAAGGGCAACACGGCAGTGAAGACCTTCAGTCTGGCCAACACGCGTGCGGACGACAGCGTGGCCATGGCCATTGCGGAAATGCTCAAAGTCAACAAGCACATCACCAGCATCAACGTGGAGTCCAACTTTATCATGGGCAAGGGGATCCTGGCCATCATGAGAGCTCTGCAGCACAACACGGTGCTCACGGAGCTGCGCTTCCACAACCAGAGGCACATCATGGGCAGCCAGGTGGAGATGGAGATCGTCAAGCTGCTCAGGGAGAACACCACGCTGCTGAGGTTGGGCTATCATTTTGAGCTCCCAGGACCAAGAATGAGCATGACAAGCCTCCTGACGAGAAACATGGATAAACAGAGGCAGAAGCGGATGCAGGAGCAAAAACAGCAAGAGGGCTATGACGGAGGAGCCAATCTTAGGACCAAAGTCTGGCAAAGAGGAACACCGGGCTCTTCACCTTATGCATCTCCCAGGCATTCTCCCTGGTCATCCCCCAAACTCCCCAAGAAAGTCCAAACTGTGAGGAGCCGTCCGCCATCTCCTGTGGCTCCACCCGCTCCTCCTCCGCCACCACCCCCACCGCTTCCCCCTCAAAGGCTGCCGCCTCCTCCTCCGCCACCACCTCCTCCACTCCCAGAGAAAAAACTAATCACCCGAAACATCGCAGAAGTCATCAAACAACAGGAGAGTGCCCAGCGGGCATTACAAAATGGACAGAAAAAGAAAAAAGGGAAAAGGGTGAAGAAACAACCAAACAATGTCCTAAAGGAAATTAAAAATTCCCTGAGGTCAGTGCAAGAAAAGAAAATGGAAGACAGTTCCCGACCTTCTACCCCACTGAGATCAGCTCATGAGAATCTCATGGAAGCTATTCGGGGAAGCAGCATAAAACAGCTAAGGCGGGTAAGTAACCCAAGAGCAGATTTGGGGCACGGATATAGTGCGTGAGTGAGCCTCCACTGTACGATGGTACCGAAGTCACCTCTAAAAATGTTTATTAATGTTTAAAATGTTTTAGTATGCAAGAGCAAGCCTCCAAATTTTGAACACCAGGAGCAGGTCACCAGTGAGCACATTTCCATTTGAGACATGTGCCGGGACCACCTTCTTAGCATCTCCGTGCTGGACGGACCAGGACTATTTTAAGACACTCCAACACTTAAAAATCCTGATTTCCTTAATAAGAAAATGGGGGAATATAATTTACATTCCAAAAAAGTTTCATCACTTGTCAACATTTTTACCTGAGTTGCAAGTGATTTACAACCTCATTTATAATATAAAATTTGAATATCGAATAGCACACAGGAATAATCAATCTATATCCGAGTTTGTCTCCAAGAATACTGCTTAGAGACTTACGCTACAGATATTTTTCACTTTATCATTTGTGTTGTTTTATTGAAAGAAAATCCCCTATTTTTATAGGTGGAAGTTCCAGAAGCTCTGCGATAAAAACATGATCTTTAGAAGAGGATGCAGAATCATTCAGTGGTATTAAATAAGACACATTGTGAGATCTTTCTAAGATACCTTCTTCAATTTGAAATGTTTCCTGACTTTAAAAATAGCCTCACCCATTAATTCCAAAAAGAATTTTAAGAAACAATCGGCATGTTTCTTCTGTAAATATGAAAATAAACTACTTTTTTTTTTATGTTACGAGATTTGTATTGGCAAGAAGCAGGTTATTTAAAGATGCTCTTTTATCTCTGGATGTGTTGATAACTCTGAGCTGTAATGAGTTAATGAAATGTGCTATTTTTGTAATCCCAATAAATTTGGATTGAAAAAAATTTTTTTTTAAACAAACCAATTTTTATGTGTGTGAGTTGATACATCTGCCAGGTATGTATGTAACATTGCCAAATATTAAAAATATGGCATTCTCACCCAAAAAGGGCTTGGGTCCTTAGCATTTTCCTTTCTTTGTTTTTTCATGTCCAAGAAAATTCGATCAGAGCTCTTTCTAAAAAGTCTGAAATCAAAAATTTTCTTTTTAAAATTTTTTTTTAAAAGATCTTATTTATTTGATAGAGAGAGAGAGCTCACAAGCAGTGGGGAAGGGTAGAGACAGAGGGAGAAGCAGACTCCCCACTAAGCAGGGAGCCCAACGCAGGACTCCATCCTAGGACCCTGGGATCATGACCTGAGCTGAAGTCAGCCACCCAACGGACTGAGCTACCCAGGAGTCCTGAAATCAAAAATCTGCTTAAAAGTCTTCTTGGTAGTGAGATAAAAGCTCTAGAGAAGACCCCAAAGTGGCCGTTATCATAGTGGGTGCATTGACCTTAGATCCAGAATGTCAGCTGACATTCCCACATTCCCAAAAGGCTGATAGGTATCAAGGAGTCAACTCAATATTTACAACTCTTTCTGGAAGAAAAAAAAAATGAAGGAAAGCTTCTTGGTAGAGGAAATGGTGTCAGGGGAATTCCTGGAAAATAAGCCCTGAATTCAGAGCTATGTTGTGGCTGATACTAAAGATTCACAACTCTCAAGTCTCCCTTTGAACTGTCCTTAGATGAGCCTTAGTCCAGTGGGCCTCAGCCTTTTTGTGCCCTACACAGATGGTAACATGGACGTCCTTGACACTCATCCCAGGACAAAGGCACATGTATTTCTGATCCCCAAATATCATTCAATCCCACTTCCCTCTTACTCAAGGAAGGTCTGAATTAAAAAAAGGGAAAGACATTTCCGAGATTATCTTCATCCCACTCCAGTGCTCCACTCCAACTTATGAAAGCTATAAATCTCTTCTAAAGTCCTTTGTATTAACTATGATTAGCAATGTTTCCTCTGTATCCTGCAGAGTCTAACAGTGGTCCTGGCAAGCTCTCTGGGCCACTCATTCAATGATTGTTTGCTCTATGTACAAAGCTTTGGATTATCTCCAATCAAGAGGATTATGTTTCACTAGGAAATTTATCCAATAGTTCTTGGGTCTGTTTCTTTTAGTCTGTTTCTATTGTTCTCTTACTTGGTGAGGACCACCTATATGATCTCTGAAGGAGGGGGCCAGAGGCCTATGAGCTCAGTCAGTGCCCTGGCTCCATGTGGGGAGTGACCGACGCTTTCTGAACTATCTGAATTGTCTCAGGTATACTTTTCCCAAAACAACTTTAAAAGGGGCAAACAAACAAAATATTATAAAGCCCATCATAAGACAGGTATGATGTGATCAGACACTGAGCGGGGACATTTATCATTGAGGAAAGACACTGCTAGAAGGTTATTTCAGAATATAGTGCTTAAACATTCAAGGTGCTATGACTCTATTCAGCACAGGACAGGGATGAGTTCATCCTGCCTGCAAACTCATAAAGTTTGTATGGAAACTAATTAGTTCATCCTCTATAAAGAGCTTCCAGCTCACAGGGAGAGGAGTGTCCAAGACCAGATGAAGTTTTGGGCTGTGATTTATACTTGCACATTAATCTCTTTAAGTACACATCATCCGGGTTTGAAACGGGGCCAGGATGCTGAGTCTTACTGCGTGTCAGGAACCCGGCTGCCCCAGGCATTTATAACTCAGTGTCAGCAGGATGTTGATTTAATACCTGCCCTGATGTAGTTGCTCCAAGCGAGAGAAGGGTAGAGGTACTAACAGGCTGCTGAGATGCACTGAGGAGTAGGGCAAATCCATAGATTCTTGAAAAGATTCCTTTCATGACAGAGTTAACACTATCTTTTCTTTATTTCTCTGAGGCTTGAAAGGTGGAGTCTTATTTTCATTAATCATCCAATAGCATGGTCTAAAAGACTAAGACTTGACCTAAGAATTACAGAACTCAGAAATACAGTACAGTGTTAATGCCCTTGACAATGTCCACAAAGATTTTCTAAGGGCCTACCATGTTCAAGGCACTTTTCTGGATGCTGAGGATACACAGTGAATGAAGGAGATACAATCCCTGTCCTCGTGTAACTGACATTCTCATGGAGGGAGCTCATCATGCATTTACTTACCAAGTGTCTCTGCTCAGTGCTGGGGAGACCAGGTTAAGTTAGAAATTGTCCTCCACCTCAGAGCAGCGGGAATCCTGAGAAAACCATCCCTTCCCAAATATGTGGTAAGAACTGACTTACAGACAGGTGTAGGGTCCTATGTGGGCACTGAGGAAGCCTCATCATCTAAAGTTAGTGTTAGCAAACTTTTTCTGTAAAGAATTAAGGAGTAAATATTTTAGACTTTGTGGGCCATTTGGTCTCTGCCAAAACTATTCAACTTTGCCCCTGCAGGGCAAAAACAGCCACAAGCAATATGTAACTGAGAGAGCATGTGTGTGTTCTAATAAACTTTATTTATAGACATTCAAATTTCAATTTTATATAACCTTCCTGAGTTGTTAACTTTCTTTCAATTTTTTCAACCATTTAAAAATGTAAATGCTCTTCTTAGTTCACAGGCTGTTGGATGTAGTTGACTTGTGAGCCACAGTTTACCATAGACCCTTGACCAAAAGCAGATAAGTGGTCAAGAAAAGCTTCTCAGTGGAGTGCCAGGGTGGCTCAGTGGGTTAAGCATCTGACTTGATTTTGGCTCAGGTCATGATCTCAGGGTTGTCAGATTGAGCCCCGAATCGGGCTCCACACTGGGTGTGGAGCCTGCTTGGGATTCTCTCTCTGCCCCTCCCCCACCTCTCTCTCTCTCTCTCTCTCTCTCTCTCTCCCCCTCTCTCTTAAAAAAAAAAGGCAAGAAAAGAAAGGCTTCTCAGGGACAGTAACACATGATTTTTTAGCCAGGCTAAAAAAAAGGAGTCAAATGATGGGACTAGGGAATAGGAAGGATATTTAAGTTTGAGGAAACAGGGCAATACAGAGAGTAGTTGAAAATCAGGGTTTAATGTAATTCTGTAAAAACAAAGATTTGGTAGAGTTACTGAAGTAGTAACTTTGGTGAATTAAAATTAGAACTATTGTATATTTTCTCTATGGGCTTCTTTTTTACAAAAATAGCATGTGATCATTAAGAAAAATCAAAATGTACAGGAAGCAAAAGAACCTAATGAATCCCCATATTCCCACCCACACAGAGCAACCACTGATGACCCTTTAGTGTATATCCTTTTAGAGTCTCCCTAACATATTTAAATGTACATATTGCTATGTTTTCTACAAAAAGGGGAAGATAGCATACATACCATTATACAACCCACCATATTTTATGTAAGAAAGTTCAATAACTGTTGGATATTTAGGTTATTTTGATTAGTCCTCTGATGTTGGATATATAGTTTGTGTCAACCTATCCCTTTGAGTTATTCTGACTTGAAACTCTTCCAGAAAGCCCTTAGAAGAACTGACTGATGAATGATTGATAGCTAAAAAGCCATTTCCCAGATACACAAGAGTTGGGAGCCAACATTGGGGTACACCAAAACTGGAAATTAGGTTTCAACCAAATTCTCATGTTTACCTACTTTCTCACAGCCAAATTATATGCCCATCTGAACCGTAGAGATATGCATTAGTAAGATGCTTTCAAAAAGTTCATACAATTGTCTACTTCTGAATAAAAAGGCTGGGATGAATTGAGAGTTACAGAAGCCCAACCTGAACAACTTAGTGCAAACTAAGGAATGTGGACTTAATTATGAAAGTCCCGGGAGCATCAAAGAATTTCAAGAGGAGGAGTGACATGATGTTTATATAGGTTTTGAAAATATGACCTGTGTAACCAAGAGAAGGATGGATTCTGTGAGGTCCAGGCTGGTGGCAGGAAGACCAGTCGGGAGACCATTATAATCATTTAAGAATGAAGTGATACAAATTTGAACTGTGAATGCTGCGTAAGTGTAAAGGGGTCCAAACAGAGCAGAGACTAAGAAAGCACCTACTCCACAGAATTTAGTAACTCACTGGGTGTAGGGGGTAGAAGGCAACGAAAGAGAGGAGTCTATGTTGACACCTGTGCTCCTGGCTGGGCCATTTGGGTGCATAGTGGTGCCAAAAGTGGGACAGGAGCAGGTGTTGGAGGAAGAAGATGACTTCAGTTTTAAGTACATTGTGTCTGAGGTGCTGGTCCATTTGAATGTGTGGGTGGGTCTAGAATGATGGGGGTGTGATTCCTGCTGCAAATAGGGGCTTGGGGGTCACATGCCATGAGTGGCATTTAAAGATGGGGGTTTGGGTGAGGTCACTCAGGGAGTGTGGAGAATGCAGAGGCAGACTATAACCAGACAGAAGGAGAGGAGAATCGTGTGGCAGAGCAGAGAGTTGCACTAAGGAAGGAGCTGTTGGTGCCATAAAGTGTCTCAGCAAGTTCTGGAGCCTGATGTTGTTCACTAGAACTGGTGGTCAGGTGAGAGCAAGTCTGTGGGAGCGGTGGAAATGGACATCGATTGTAGGGCTAGGGTGGGACACTCACCAGGAGGAAGAGAATAGTGCAATGCTTCATTAGGAGGTATGCTGCTGGTGTCCCCAAATCTCGGAATAAAAGAGGCACATCCTTCTGGTATGTCATTTTTACTTGACATGAGAAACAAAACTTACATTTTATACACACACATATACACATATAATCATTTTTACTTGACATGAGAAAAATTATATTATTTATATATTTATATATAAATTTATACATATATTTTATGTCAAGCAAAAATATTATTTATATACTTATATATAAATTTATATATATTTTTATGTCAAGCATATGTGTGTGCATAAATATATATATCTCCTGATTTTTAAAGTTTGCATTATGCTACTTTGTTTTTATGGAAGATGTATATTAGTACTTGTTTTCACTGAC